CTGAGCATCATGCACGCTCTCTCTCTCTCCATCAACATAAACATGCATCCTATGTGTTATAATGAAGCAGAGACGCAGCAGGCATGCATACAGCAATGACATGCATGACTTGATGCTCATCTATCCAGCTGTACCCATCATTCCCCAGGAAACTACCGATTACAGCAGATCAGCCTCATGGACCTAAACATTAGCAGCTTCCTGCAGCCGTTTCCATTAAATCTCATTGCACAGCAGTGAAAAGCCAAACTGTCACCCTGAAAGAGGGCAGTGAAAAAGTAAGATTATTAAACAATCAGCAGATTTATGAGCTGAATTAAAACTGGAAGTTTTCCGCAGGTTAACCAATAGTTATTCAACATCTGAAATATTTATATTTCATAAACAGGATAAAGGAAAAGAAGCAGAAAAGGTTAATTTCCCAACATTGTTGTTTTGTTCTGCTGTTTTTATTATGTTTATTAATGCTATAATTACTTTGGCCAAAGGAGGCAGGAGACCGTTAAGAGTTGAATGTCCTTCATTATAGAATAACTGAATGCTGACTTTGAAAAACAAAATCTATTAAAGGCTTTAAAGTTGTATTATAAAGTTATTTAAACATTTTTATTTATATAACAATTCCTTTTTTATATTTGTGTACATAGATTATATGTAAATATGTGTTTGTTGAATCAAAAAGTTATTTATTAAACATTTTCCGTAGTTATTCTTTTACTTAATGTATTTTGCAGGCCCCCTAACCCTGGTTCATTTCACTGATTTGGTTCAAAAATCAACAACAGCTGATTGAAAAGTTGCGTTATGTTGGAGTTAATGGTGATTCTCTAGATACAGTCAAATTGGGTCATGATGTTTTTTAGAAATATGTTGATCTGTTCCGATTAATCATAATGTGTAGAAACATTAACTGATAGAGGCTGTAATGAAATATTATATTATATACGAATATTGAGTTCTATGTAGTGACGGAAAGGCTGCTGTGGGAAAGACGACCTTTAGCAAATCTTAAAAGATTATCCCTGTTTTAGAGTTAACATTAAAAATAATTAATATAAGTATTCTCCCTATTTTTGGATGAAAGGGAAATACGAGGTGTTTGGAAATGATTTTTTCCTTTTATGGAGCTAACGCTGCTATCCTGCCATTAACGTGACAGCTGATGGGCTTACAAGTAGAAAAAGGTTAAAAATAACATTTTGTGGCGAGAATAACATTAATCCTTAAGGCCAGGTGTTCTTTTTATGAAAACTAAATAAAATACTAATATGTATTTCAAGCAGGTGATAATTTTCATTAAAATGAGGAATATCTGTACCATTTATCAGTAGTTACCGTTGAATTAATTAATCTGATCAATTTCAGAAAATAAGGGACTGAGAATCAGAACCAAGCAAAGGGACAAAATAGGGAAAAAATAGTCTTGTTAGAATCAAACTTTGTTTAGCTACTGAATTTATTGCACTTTTTTTTTTACTTTAAATTAATCAAAAAAAGTTTAATCTGTAACAATTATACTGCAGACTAGGGCTGGGTATTTTCACCAAAGTCCGGAATCGATTCTATTTTGATTCATACAGTTCTAAATCGATTAATTTCGATTAAATCTGTTTTTACAATAGTGAAAGTGGTTCAACTGTGTTTTAAAATACTCATGTATTTTACTGTTTCCTGTCATATTAAACACAAAGTGCAAACTTTTAAATCAGACAGTTTAAATTTGAGATGTGAACAAAACTGTCTCAAAATGCAAACTTGTTTGTGAAAAGTGAAAAAGTGAAGCCTCACTCGAGCAAGCAGATGTGACACAGCAGACATGCATGAGCTGCATTATCTCCTCTGCACAAACCATATGTGCAGCGTTGTCTGTAACAACTACAGGGTGTTTGCTGGTCAGCTCCATTTGTTAATGTCTTCAGTCAACCTATTGGCTATATTTGCAGCTGTCTGGCTTGAAGTAATCTTGAGTGCATCTTTCCTGCTCAGTCGAATGTGAACGTCACGCGCGTCACTATAAAACTAATCAATCTCATTCCCTAGACATTGATTTTGAAAAAATGTAAAGAAATCGATTAAATAATTTTTTTTACCCAGCCCTACTGCAGACATTCACCTATTAAAAAACTAAGCTGCAAAAATTAAAATGCAAAAATGTGTTGACCTCTCAATGACTCAGGCCAAATCGATCAGCACTAGATTGAGTCTGACCTCTTTTTGCCAATCCAAATACACTAATGTGATTTTGCAGGTGATTATTACTTTGTTTCTTGCTTTAAAATTTTTATAGGTGAATTTCTATTGATGAGTTATATGATTTTTTTTATGAGTGAAATTTAGCAGTAGATTTTTTTTCATACCAAATTTTAGCAGGGGGAAAAACATACAATAAATTCAGATACATGATTGCACAGGTTAAAAATAAGCATATGTTCAAGGTCTAAACACTGGTTCTAATGAGACGGTGTTTCTTCCATACAAAGGACATACAGCAAAAACACAATTTAAAGCCACATTTCATATAACATAAATACTGACTTATGTATCAGATATTATTTGAAAGTTTGTCTTTATATCTAGTAAGAGGAGCAGGAATATAAAATGAATAAATAAAAAGTATTTTTGTTTTCTCTATTTCTGCCTGGGCTCAAATCACCCCTAGGTTATTACAGCCAATTCAAAAGTGACAGTAAATAACTCTAACGTCTCAAATATCACTACAATAGATTTGTTTTCAGAGGTTGAAGGTAGCTTGTTTCATATATATCTGTACTTTAGTTGTGTTGGATTTTTAAGTTTTTCTTAATTAATATCCTTATGAAAGTATTGCTACTCTTGAGAACATTTTCTGGTTACTCTACTCAGTAACTTGAGCTCATTGAGACCAGGTGAAAATACAGTTAAGGGTAGATATTTTACTTACATATATGCATCACATACAATCTAGGAATGGACTGGTTGGAAAAACAACCAATCTAGTTGGTTAAACCAATTTTGCTTAGATGAACCATTATACTGGTCAGAAACTGACCGACCCATTGGTTTCAGATCTACCAATTTGATCAGTTAACCAAACAACCAATAAAAAATGGTTACAGATGGTTTACTAATCTGACTGTTGGCTGTAGTCAAGCGTAGTAATAGTCATGGACCTAGAGAACAATCACAGTGGTGTGTTCATGTACAACATGCTGTCTATCAATATCTAAGGGGAATGATGGCCTAGTAGTTAGGGCTAGGGGTGTAAATCACATCCATCATGGCGATTCCATTCAGTATCAATTTCCTGACCCAACGATTCCATTATTTGCGATACTAAAGAATCCTTCTACTGTTTACGCCAGTCTGTGTGTGCATGTGGAAAGAGGACAGTGGCTAAAGGAAGCAAGGTAGGAAGGCAAAATAGGTATAGCGCCTCCACAGCACGGGAGTCAGAATTACATCCAGGAGCAAATGGATAAAAATGGACCGGAGGGAAAATAAAATCATGAATCGATTCTCTTGCGGACGTGTCGAAGCATCTGATCGTCGGCTGTTGGATTGATGCATCGATACAAAAATGATTATTATTTACACCCCTAGTTAGGGCATAGAGCTTGGAATCCAGAGGTTGTGAGTTTGAGCCCCACTCCCAACAGAATGCCACTCTGGGTCTCTGAGTAAGACCCTCAATCCCACACTTCTCCCTGGGGGGTTCCATGATGGCAGCCCACTGCCCATCCTGAGGGGATGGGTTAAATCCAGAGGTAAATTCCTCAAATGTGAGATCAATTAAAGTTGAATTATGATTATTAAAACTAGATGGGTTTTTTTAACCAAAGGATTGGTTGGATATATAACTAACGACCAGATTGGTGAAATTCAAACACATCTTTTGGTTGTATTATATTATATTGTCCAATAGAATACACAGTAAGGGTTTATAGGTTAAAATATTTCTTTTAAATCATGTTGTTTATTTGGATCCTTAATTATCTTAGTTTTTACTTTTAAATAACAGAAAAACTTCCTGCCTGTTTAAATAACTCTAAATATTATATCAGATGTCATGGGCCAATATTACTCAGTACTCGAGTATCCATCTAACCTTATGTACTTTTTTGTTCTTGATTCATTTGTTGGACCGCTGCTTTCTTCTTTAGCAGAGGCGTAGCCAGAATTATTTTATAAGGGTGTCCAGGCAATAACCAATGGAGACTGAGGGGGGGCCGAGAGCAGATAGGCACCAGAACCTCAGGGTCAATCTACACTGTTCCAACATGAAAATTAAAGAGCAAAACATCCATATTTTCTAAATAAAGACAAACTATACTTTCCTACAGCCTTTGCTCACAAATAGATGCATATATTTAAACATCCGTAATTTCTAGATAAAAGGTATAGTGGATAAAACTCTTTCAGTTTTGAGTTCTGGGGCTTAAACCTTTTCCATCGTCCTTACCTACTTTTGTCAATAAACATTCTGCATAAAATTGATATTTACAAGCACTAATATCTACATAAATTAATTATTTGATAAGCTTTTATTAAAATTGTTATTTATCTATGATTTTACTGAAGACTCCTCCATGACTTGTAGACACAATTTCTCTTTACCCCATAAAAGAAAACATCTAGTTCTGAAAAGAGCATGAATTCTGTATTTATCATCTTTGATATTAGAATAGTGATGTCTATAATTAACCCAAAAAAATTTAAATGTTTTGAATACTCCGCTTGAGAGTATTGCTGCATCCAATATCTGTATTAAGGGGGTAAAATGGTAAAAACCCCTGGCCCCCCATTTAGCTCCACCCCTGTACTTTAGTAAAAGATGTTAACATAGTTTTATTTTTACTTGAGTCATTTCTTCACCAACCGTTTTTTTTTATCATTTAAACATCCTGACAGTAAACCTGGTCATATCAGACTGTTTATTAGCAGTGACCCTATAATGACCCTAATGACCCCTGAAGCAGGACCCTCTGCTCCACCAGCAGCCAGGCTGACTGGGATCCACTCACTTGTAGGAGCTGCCAGCGCCGATCTCCTGTTTGATCTGTCGGTTCAGGGCATCCACCGCCGCCCTGCCTTTGCCCTCTGCCTCCACCTTCAGCACCACCTGCTTACTGGAGCGCTTCTTCCTCTCCTGCCTCTGCAGCAGGTCTTTCTCCTGCACCTTGTCGGCTATGGCGCCCTTCTCCACGCCGCACTCCGCCTCCAGCGCTAGGTGCTTCTTCTCGTGCCTGGGCCGCGGGTCGTGCCTGGGCTGCGGGTCGTGCCCCGCTGGGGGTATCCAGGGATGGTCGTACCTTTTGGGGATGGGCCAGGGCTTGAAGTCCTTCTGGTACTGGGTCTCGGTGTTGAACGGCGTCTCCGGTTCGTGGTACTCGTTCCTGGGTTTGCAGCTGGGCTCCGGACGGACCTTCCAGTGTTTGAAGTCCTCGCGCATCACCGAGCTGCACACGCGCTCCTCGGAGACGCACCTCCGCGGCCCGCGCGGCGCTCTGGCGGCGCGGGGTTCTGCGCGCAGAGGCTGCGTTTCTATGGCGACCCCGGCCTGTGGAGGATGGAGCTGCGGCTGCAGCTGGATGTGCTGCATCTCCGACACATCCGTGTATTTAGTGAAGACCAGAGGCACCGCGATGTCAGCCTTATCCAGCTGGTTCCAGAACCGGGCCATGCAGCAGGCCCGGCTGATGCAGGGCCAGGCCATGGCGACTGATACACCAAAAACACTGCTTACTTCCACTGACACGACAGAAAATCCCACTCCACTGCACTGATTGGAGCAAACCAAGAGAGGGTCCGACGTTAAACCCGTTTATTTAATAATCCCATAGTGTGGAATAACCGAAGGAGAGAGACGCTGTTAAAATGGACCGTTTCTGGTTCCGTCTGAGTCCGATCTGCTGTTCCTGCAACATCAGGGGACCGCAGGGAGAAAGGGCCCCGCCCGCCTCAGCATCCCGACAGGAACCGAGGAGGAAAAGAAACGTCAAGCTGGATAATTTCACTTCCCCTTTAAAGCACAGAGGCTGCAATAAAATAAAAACACGCAAATAAAATTATACATCAAGCGCACCGTTTGCTGCTTTTCAATCATAAAACACGTTTGGTACAAATATTAAAAATCATGCAGCAGTTTTTTAATTTAATCCACTGATGCAAAGGACGCATTTTACATCTAAAACCTATTTTATAACACATATGAAAACTATTTTTTTATGCAACTTGGTTTAAAATATATGCTTTCTGTTTATTTTTAAGGTTATAGAAATTATATGGAGCCAAATTTGTTGGCCAATTTTACATTATGTTCTGCTAAATGTACAAGAATTACACCCAGTAGCTTATTAATTGTGTAAAACTAAACACAAATACATGAACCTAAAAGTTTAGTTTTCCTCTGTTGGACTTCATTGCAGTAAGAATATTCTAGAAATATTTTTGGGCTGTTTTTTAGGACCAGCTCCTCATTAGACTCAGATTGTTTGGATTATTTCTTTTGCAAAATACTTCAGGTTAGGTCCGATTGCAGGGAGAACGTTGCTATTTATTTATTTTTAGTAATGACTAATAGCCTACATGTCTTTATGCTATAATTTTGTAATGTATTTTAGTTGTGTTATTGTGTGGTTTAATATGTCTTTGAGCAGCATCTGTGGTAACTATGGAATATAAACTGTGTTTAGACTGTTTGCATCCAGGT